CCTTCCTTCCTTCCTTCCTTCCTTCCTTCCTTCCTTCCTTCCTTCCTTCCTTCCTTCCTTCCTTCCTTCCTTCTTTACAAAGATTCATTTCACTTGGTTTCTGTGCTGAATGCAGAAAAGGGACAGAACTTTCCATCTCTCTTCTGGCAGTCTGCTCCCTCACCTGCCTGGAATTTCTGCTTACCTATGGTGATTAAGCTAGTTCCTAAATACCAGACAGGGATGGTCTAGGATGGAAAACATAAAGAACAAGACAGTTGCAATATTGAAAGTGTTGATTTAAAAACTATTAGATGGAAACAACTAATAAAATTAAGAGTAGGCTTATGAAGGTGCGTAAAGAAACAGTCTTTCATACAGTGCATTATGAATATAAAGAATTCATTAGCAACATTGGCCATGACAACTCAGTAATCTCTGCAAGCTTAGAGTTGTAAAGACTTGTGGGAAAAAAGGAAATAAGTAGAAATATTTTTAATGTTTTTTTCCTTCCCACTAGGCCTTCATATTTTCATACAAGCTTAGAAGCAGTATATTTCAGAATATCAAATGCTAGTTGACAAACAAGGAGAGGCAGTGTCACCTTTATGAAGGTGTCTCCTTGAGAAACCTATAGCTTCTGCAAAGTATCTGGATGGCCACTGATAGGGATGGGGTTATGCACTCAGCAAGCTAATCTGATCCAGTAGAATGATTTTTAGGGTTTTATCTGTTATTTCAGAACAGCCTTTCCAAACCTGGGCCACTCCAAAACTTTTGGGCCGCAACTCCCATTAGTCCCAGCCAATAAGGCCAGTATACAGGGCTGATGAGAACTATAAGCCCAAAGGAAGGAAGGATCTGAAGGATCCTGAAGGATTCTGAATCTGAAGGAAACCAAATTTGGAGAAAGATAATTAAACACTAAACTAGCTAGGGCAAAAGCTACTGGTACTTTACGCAAGAATTATGTGCTCTCTATCTTCTGGAAAGGTAGTGCTAATGCCATCCTCAATCTAGGAACCTCATCTTATTTTTTCCTTGGTTTTCTTCCTTAGCTGCCCTGATTACAGCCGCGAATTGCACTTATGACCCTTTAGCCATCTTGATGGAGGATGCGGACCCTTGTACCAATACTTACGCTAACTGGCTGGTACTCCTTCTCCTTGTGATCTTCCTGCTGGTAGCCAACATTCTGCTCCTCAACTTGCTGATTGCGATGTTCAGGTACCGCTGCCTCCAATTCCAGCATCTGTTTGGGATGTGTTTGTTCAGGTCTATAAACCATTGGAAGCATATACTGCATATACAAAGCTAGACCGCTGGTTTGCCTGGCCCATGCAGGATTATCTATTCTGGTTTTGACTGTCTAGGACAGTGTTGTCCAAACTTGGCCACTTTAAGATAAGTGGACTTCAACTCCCCCAAATCTCTAAACACCATTGGTGGCCTTGGGGTTTTTGGGGGTTTAAAGTCCACATCTTTAAAAATGCGCCAGTTGTGACAAAACGTGTATGGGT